GGCGCTCTCTCCTCTGCAGCTCCTGCCTGGCGCGCTGTCCTGCCCCATGGACGTGAGTCCCAGGCCCCCGACCCCCCCAGCGCCCTAAACTCACCCAGACGTTGCCTGCCTGCGGGTGGACTGCAGAGAGGGCTCTGTACCCCACTAACCCTCCCGCTCAGGACGAGATTGTTCAAAGGAATGCCAGGGAGGGGGCCCCCAGCAGGGCACTCCCCGCTCTTCCAGGCCAGAGGAAGTTTGCCGAGTGATCAAGGAGAAAGGCGTGGAGGCGGAGGGAACAGTGGGTAGAGACCTGGGGTGAGAGAGAGGAGAGGGCACTTGGGGGCTGCCGGGCCTTCAGTGTGGCTGGGGTGCAGAGAGGGAAGGCGGGTGGGTGGGGCTAGGCCCGGGCTTTTGTCTCTGAGATAAGTGAGGACCAAGTCGCTGAGAGCCATTAACGGATTGAAAGGAAGGGAGGAAAACACAGGACAACTGCTGCGGGAAGGGGCAGCACTGCAGACTGGGAGACAGTCAGGGGCAGTGATGTTGGCTGAGGGCCGGTAAAGCATCCCAGACAACAGGTCCGTTTGGAGAGACGTTCCGAGAGGAAGCTCAGTCGGTCTGGGTGAAGTCCAGAATGACCCACAAGCCCTGTATGGTGCTGAAATGGGGATGACAGGGAAAAAGGGGGTCTGGGGGACAAGAATGTGAAGTCCTGTCGACTCACCCCGCCATCTGGTGGCTGTTCCCCCTTTCCAGCCACCTCAGTGTCCCCCTGGTATTTCTGTGTTCCTGCAGCCTCCCCTACCTCCTTGTCATCCCTTCCTCCTGTGCTCATCCAGGCCTCCTCTAGCCCTTGGAATCCCACCCCGGCTCCCGTCAGCAGTCCTTCCCTGCTGCTCCCCATCCCCGCCATCGTCTTCATCGCTGTGGGCATCTATTTGTTGCTGCTAGGCCTAGTGCTGCTGACGAGGCACTGCCTGCTGGTGAGGAGCCTCATGGGGGCTGAAGGGTGGGCTCTGGAAGAGGAACCCGGTTAGCCTGTGCCCTCGTCTGCAGGCCCTCACTCTGAGACTCCTCTGCCAATCAGTCCCCCCATCTATCCCTTCCCTGGGACCAGAGTTCCTCCTCTGCTGTCTCCTGCCGTGCCTTCTCCTGTCCCTCTCCCCAAAACCGTATCTTGGCTCTCCCTCCCCGCCACCTGGGCCGGATCCTGAGCCCTGCCCTTTCCTAGGCCCAAGGCTGCTGCACCGATTGCAGCTCCCCCTGCAGGAAGCAAGGCGCCTCCAGGCCCCAGGACTGTTGCTGGACCTGTGCAGAAGCCTGCGACTTCCCTCTGCCCAGCCCAGCTCACTACCTGGATGCCTGCTGCCCCCAGCCCACTGAAGCTGTGAGTTCTCACACTGTCCCCGAACCCCTTGAGCCGGAGCTAGGCACCATCTGTACATTGATTTTTGTTGTTGTTCAACATTTATTATTCAGCACAATTCCAGTACTGGGTTGGGTGGAAACAGCCAAAAACAACATAAACTGCCCTGACCGGTTTGGCTCAGTGGATAGAGCGTCAGCCTGCAGAATGAAAGGTCCCAGGTTCGATTCTGGTCAAGGGCATGTACCTTGGTTGCGGGCACATCCCCAGTGGGAGGTGTGCAGGAGGCAGCTGGTCGATGTTTCTCTCGATGTTTCTAACTCTCTATCCCTCTCCCTTCCTCTCTGTAAAAAATCAATAAAATATAAAAAAACAACAACAACAACATAAACAACATATCAGATAATTTCTAATGATGAAACCTGCTTGGAAAAAAGAAAACAGGCCCTAGCCAGTTTGGCTCAGTGGCTACAGCTTCAGCCTGTGAACTGAAGGGTCCTGAGTTCGATTCCAGTCAAGGGCACATGCCCGGCTTGTGGGCTCGATCCCCTGTGTGGTGCGTGCAGGAGGCAGCCGCTGATCAATGATTCTCTCCCATCATTGATGTTTCTCTCTCTCTCTCCCTCTCCCTTCCTCTCTGAAATCAATAAAATATGAAAAAGAAAACAGGGTATCAGCTGGAGAAAGGTGATGTGTGTAACATGTAGAGCATACAGTCACCTCTGAAAATGGTAGTTGAAAGAAAAAACAACCTCTCACAGAGCTCATTCTGCTCACTGAGTGAATACTATGTTCCATTATTATTTTCTCAACAACCCTGGGAGCTGGGTATTTTATAAAACATGCATATATTTTTTTTCTGGTCACAAAAAGCATTGATTACAAAGTGTGCATGTTGAAACACATAGAAAATATAAGGTACTTTATAAACCAACTCTCTAACTAAGGTTGCTGTTTTGTGCGACCCTCATATAATAGTACTAACATACAGTACTATCACTGCTGTGTTTTACTATTATTTGGTAAAAATGGGTCATGCCACATATATCATCACAACTGCTACTTACTCTTTTTAAAAAATATATATTTTTATTGATTTCAGAGAGGAAGGGAGAGGGAGAGAGAGATAGAAACATCAATGACGAGAGAGAATCATTGATTGGCTGCCTCTGCAACCCTGGCATGTGCCCTGACCGGAATAGAACTGTGACTTCCTAGTTCATAGGTCAACGCTCAACCACTGAACCACACCGGCAATTTACCCTTTTTAACTTAACATCACACCTCGGTCACCTATCTGTGCCTGTATATGTAGGTAGGTAGGTATTTGTGTCCCCCCTTTGCAGGGGAAACATTGGCTTAGGGAAGTTTAGCCACTTCTCCAATATCCCACAGCAGAGTCTCGCATGGCAAGTTGTTCCATAGTGTGTTAGAGTCCTCAGGGCGAAGCCTGGCTTGCAGGGGACAGGCCATTTTTGCACTTGTGGGTTTAAAGATGTTCAGTGTAATTGAACACCTTCCTAGGCAATAATTATTTTGGGCTCAGAGATTTAGACAATAAAGCTCCTGCCCTTGAAGTGGTGACCTTCCTTAAGAGGGAAGAGTGAGGCTAGAAGACCAAGCAGATTCATAACTTGGACGGACTGTAGTTGGTGCATTGAGGTCTCTGTCCTTCAGTTTCCGTAGGAACAGTAAATCACAAATATTACCAAGTTCTCGCCTACTTCACAGCTGTTGAAACTGCAGCTTACAGAAGCTTGAGTGACTGAGCCAGGGCAGAAACCTAGGTTTCTGTTACCAAGTATCTAATTCATTCATTATTTATTCACTTAACCAAAGATTTATGGAGTCATTGTTGAGGCCCTGTGCTGGGCCCCGAGGGCTCAGTGGAAACAGGGTAGACATGGTCCCAGCCCTCACAGGGCTTACATTCTGGTGAAGGCCAGAGAGAAATAAGTAGGCAACTATAATAGCGTGTGAGAAACTGATACAGTGCAGTGGTTGGTTCTCAGCCCTGTCTGTGATCAGAAGCAGGCATCAGAAAGGTCTGGGATTGGACTGATTGGAGTTTGTGATTTTTTTTAAAATACATATTTTATTGACTTAGAGAGGAAGGGAGAGGGAGAGAGAGAGATAGAAACATCAATGATGAGAGAAACTCATTGATCGGCTGCTTCCTGCATGCCCCCAACTTGGGATCGAGCCTGCAACCCGGGCATGTGCCCTGTGACTGGGAATCGAACCATGATCTCCTGGTTCATAGGTCAACGCTCAACCACTGAGCCACACCAGCTGGGCAGAGTTTGTGAATTTTTAACAAGTTCTCACACGATCCTGCCCCCCCCACCAGGGGAAAGAGCTGCTGTGACAAGAACAGCTCCCTGTACTGAGTGCCCACTAAGCATCAGGCACTGTGCTTCGTTCTTTCCACTGATTCCTCACGATGACCTTAAGAAGTGGGCTCAGAGACGAGGAACCCGAGGCTCAAAACATGAATTCGCCAAGCCTGGGCCTGAACTAGACTCCAGGCTGCGCCTGGGCTCTAACCAGTAAAGGTGGCTGGTCTTCACAGCATTAAAGCAAAAGATATCCAAGTGGAAAACTCGGGGCCTAGAGAAACACGAGGGTTAACAGTCTGTGGAGCTCTGGTTTAATGTACTTCAACAGCAGGTTCCTTCCAGAAGTCACCTGGCTGCCTGGGAGAGTTGAGAAATCCATTAGCCAGTTTTTAATGACTAGATCCAATGGACAGAGCCAGGAAATGCTTTTAATACCCTCTTCTCTGAAGTGAGGGCAGGGGAGCCGCACTCAGCCACCAATTTTGTGCGCAGAATGACAGCAGGGTCCTCCAAAATCCCACAGAGCTGACTTCATCCCCAGAGACACCCTCCCCAGACACCCCGCAAAGCACAGCCTCATCAAACACAGCGAAACCACTTTGCTCTCTGTCCCTTCCACCATGACACTTCTAGCCTCCTCCTTGGGAGCCAATTCTAGTGGCAGTAGCTCCAGCCCAATTCAGCCCCCTCTACCTGGAGACACTAGGTTCCTTCCCCTCACAGGAGCCCCTAGTGATATCTGATAGCACCAGTCATCCGGCACCGCACCCCGAAACCTCAGCTGTTCAAAAGGTCATTCCCCTATTCCTGGCCTGGCCCAGTGTCTGGTCTGTGCAACTGTGACTGTCACTAGCTCTGCCTTAGGACTCAAGATGCCAATTTTCTGTCACACACCCTGGGCGTGTGCTGCCCCAGCCACTTGGCCTGACTCCACTTAATGCCTGAAGCAGCCTCAGATCATCTCTGCCCCAGGACAGGAGAGGAGTCGGCTGGAGTCGGCTGCTCCCCCTTCCTGTCTCTAGGACATGCTGTTCCTCTCCCCAAGAGGCAGGCCTTCTGTTTCCCTGGGAACTGAGAAGCCTCTTCTTTCTCCGCTGCCTGTAGAGGGAGAAATTATGTGCTTTGGTTTATCCATTCATCCCACAGCCATCGCTGAGCCTGAGTCCCCATGCCAGCTCCGCGGAGACGTGAGATGAACAGTCCCTGTCCTGGCAAACCCAGAGAGAAGCTGATGTTCCCGACCTGGGAGGCAGTGGGTCGAGGGGGGTCTAAGGACGGGGAGCAGGCAGGCCAGGTGCATCCCAGCAGCATCCCCCAGATGCATTCCTTCGGGCAATCACTCCCCTCTCTGAGCCTCCATTTCCTCTTTTGTAAAGAGGCTCCTCTACTCAAGGTTCTGACAATTAGGATATAACTTTTTGAGACATGAAACAATTTAAATATGCAAATTACCATTATTAAAGATTTTAAAACTCATTCATGAATGCAGTCTGCCTTGCACAGAGTAGGTGCTCAGAGATGAGGAGATCCTGCAGTTTGGTCTCATGCCAGGAAGAAATCCACAAAACCAACAAGTTGTTTTCACCAGGGACAGAAAATGTGTGTGTGTGCTTTCCCTGTCTACTGACTTTGAATTGCACTGGGCCACAAAAATGTAGAACCATCATTGAGCTGAACACTTGAGCTGAACACGGGGACACCCGAATGCTAGTGGGACCAGGCCAGTAGCTCGCTGGTCCTCAGTCTCCTCGCCTATAAAATGGGGAGAACGAGAGAACCCCCTGAATAGTTTCTTCCAGCTCCGGAACTCAGTTGTTTGGAACATTGCCTCCTTGCTGATTTCTCAACAGCACGGATTTGATTTGTTCCCAAGGATGGTGGATGGTACTCTCTGTTCCACTGGGCAAATGGACTTTCCAGGCCTGTTTCCTTCTCCCCTGAGGGACACAGCTTCAGGCTCTGGTCCCCCTTCCTCCTGCCCACCTCCTTCACTCCCTTCTCTCCCTCAGGGCTGGGCCCCTCGCTGCCCTCGTTGCTGCCCACTCTGCGACTGTGCCTGTGCGTGCCAACTGCCTGACTGCCAGAGCCTCAACTGCCTCTGCTTCGAGATCAAGCTCCGATGAGGACCCCAGTCCCTGCCCTTGGGGGAGTGGTCAGCCCCCAGGGCCCACATGCCCTCTTCCCTGAGGGGCCTCAGGCCACTGGAACCACGGATGGGCTGCCTGGCTCACTGGCCTGGGAACCAGCAGTGGAGAACTTGGCTCTTAACAGAGCAAGACCTGGGGAGCCATTGGCCGGCTAGACTGCAGTTCCTGCACAGGGACAACCAAAGAGGAGCCCCGCAGGTGCCCGGCCCTCCTCTTCCCCTCCCCAGTAAACGCATGCTAACCACGGGCGGAACTTGGACCTAAATGTAAGGATACAGGGTACCCTGGCGTGCCCAGTCCATGGGCTCTTGGTTGTTTTGGGGTGTGGGTATAGCACCTGCAGCTGCACTCCCTCTAACGAAATGGGCCCCAGAGAATCCTAGCCGCTGCCATCGGAGCCCAGGCGGGGGAGGGGGTCAGAGGAGGAGGCAGGGGAGGCCACATGATCGAGTCCCCTTTCCCCTTCTCCCCACAGAGCCCCGCCCAGAGATCTATTTCCCTTTTGAGGGCCTGAGGCTGGATTTCCAAGGAAGAAATTCCCTCTGAGTTCCGGGTGAGTGGGCAGGGGCCCTCCCCAGGCCTTAAAATAGGGCAGGCCCAGCTCGCTCCCCGTTTCTCGCGCTCGGGGCCCCACGCCGGCCTGAATGTCAGGAGCTTCAGGTTTCCCTAAATATAGGTCCCTGCCCGTGGATCCGGGGAGGAAAGGGCAGGGGTCAGTGGAGAAGGTTGGGGACACTGGCGGGGGGAGGGCAGGGGCTGCTTTATAACCCAGCCCGGTGCCGCCTGGCGCACTCGCTGCTGACCAGGCTCTGCCCGCTGCTCCGGCCTCCAGGTGGGCGCCAGGGGGAAGGCGCTGGGTGGGGCCGGGCTGGAGGGAAGACCTAGGACGGGGCGCGGGATGTGTCTGGGAGGCTGATCGGCGTGCGACACATTTTATTCTGAGACCTCAGTCC